ATATATCAGTTGGCCAATTAATTTCTTTCTGTTTATAGTAGAGACGGGGTCTCGCTCTTGCTCAGGCTGGTTTTGAACTCCTGACCTTGAGCAATCCGCCCGCCTCGGCCTCCCAAGAGCTAGGATTACAGGCGTGAGCCACAGCGCCCGGCCTAAAAGTTACTGCTTTGCCATGGTTCCACTAGGGCACGAACCCCCCTGCCATTTCTTGATATGTCTTTTGATTTAAGGATATTTTGAGAAGCTCATTCATCAAGCAGTTTGTTTTCTACTCTGATGTCCTAGCCAGCACCAAACTTAGATCTTCTCCTGTAAATTTGATGGCAAGATATCTATGAGGGGCGTTATCAAAAATATGTAGTTTTTCCTTGAGAGCTCTGTGTAAAGCTTTCAATCATCTATCTTCCGTGGATACTTTAATCATTGCACCCAGCATGGAGCAAGTTTTCCATTAAATAACAATTGAATAAATGAAATGCTAAACCTAATACATTCAGATTTTCTGATTACTATTGTGTAGGGGACTGACATTATATTTTCCTAGTTTAAGAATTAAATTTAGTAATATACGTGCTCTGCCCAGAGCGTTTAAAAGTAATGTGCTCTGGACAAGCCCCTGTGATAAACAAGGCTGTTGCCTAGAGGCATAACAAAGGACCTGAGCAGCAAGTAAGCAAGAGCTGCCCAGCCCCACGGCAATGGGGGTCTGGAGGCTACATGATAACCACATTGTTCCTGTGGTTGCTGCTTAAGCCCCATAAGATGGCTGGTTAGTCAATGGTGGGTAAGATCCCTCAAGAGAAGTGTGACCTAAGCCAGGCACAGCCGCAAGGGATCAGCCTAAGATCTTAGGGGATCACCCTAAGAGAAACTGCAGACGAGAAATGCCCCCTGTGGCTGCCTTGCCCATTCTTGCTAATCTCGGTCTGTGATCTATGCCTGGTACCTAGAGCAACCACCTGGAAATCTTGAGTCAGGGAACATTTGTATCCTTAAGGCTACATGTTCCGGAATTTATGGCCATTGCCATAAATGGTGGTTACGTATAAGGAACGAACTTTAATTTTTTAGAGTATAAAAATAAAACTGACCCGGTGTTTGGCCAGGACATTCAGAGTAGAAAACAAACTGCTTGATGAATGAGCTTCTCAAAATATTTAAACAAAAAGAACATCAAGAAATGGCAGGGGAAGGAAAGAAAGACTCGAAACACATTTCCAGGCACTTCGTCTAAAGCCTTGTGTTAGATTTAGCAAGTCTGACTGCCGTTGCCTCCTCGCAGAGGTAGTGAGTCCGTGCACTGCTCAGTCAGCGATCGCTGTCTCAGAAACAAACAACAGAGCGGTCACAAAGAGTCAGGATTTGGAAAACATCAAAAATGGTTTCTTACAACCCCTAGATCTCCTGCTGTTTCAAATCAGCTGGGCCTGTGTCAGCACGCGCTAGGGAGGCTGAGGGCTCCCACCCAAACGACTGATGAAGCGTTGGGAGCCACGAGAGCTACAGAGCACCAAGGTCAGCTCTCGCTCGATATGGATTTCCTTTTGTATTAAGGATTAAATGCTTTGCTACATTGTTGAATTATCGATCCCCAGAGTGAGTTTCTGATAACAGAAATTACAAAATAATAAATTTGTAGAGTAAAACTAACTTGTCTACTGGGTGCGGTGGCTCATGGCTGCACTCTGGCAGGCTTGAGGCAGGAGGATCACTTGAAGCCAGGAATTACCAGCCTGGGCAACACAGCAACTCCATCTCTACAAAAAACAAAAACAAAACTCCAAACTAACTTGTCTCCCGTGCAGTGCAAACCAGCTTACATTATCCATTATTCAGCAAAGCAGCCAATCTTGATAAATTCTGCTTTTGGATGAAAGAAAGAGCTAATTTGCAAAACAGTAA